TTTTTTTTTTTTTTTTTTTTTCTTTTATTTTTTTTTTTTTTTTTTTTTTTTTTTTTTTTTTTTTTTTTTTTTTTTTTTTTTTTTTTTTTTTTTTTCTTTTTTTTTTCTTTTTTTTTTTTTTTTGTTGTTTTTTTTTTTTTTCTTTTTTTTTTTTTTTTTTTTTTCTTTCTTCCCGGGCGCCAGAAGCAGAAATTCAGCATTTTCAAAAGAAAAATGTGTATTGGAATGGCCTTTTTTCGGCGCCGCCTCGGAACTCGATTTTCTGGCGCCGGCCAGAGCCGGTTCCGGACCCGGCCCAGGCGCCGGCCCGGGCGCCGGCTCGGGCGCCCGGCCCGGGCGCCGGCTCGGGCGCCGGCCCGGCCCCAAGGATCGGCCACCCTCAGAAAACTATGTTAGTGTTCTTGTGGGTAAAATAACTTAACTTAGTTTTTTCCCTTCAGAATTTAACTTAGTTTTGGGCGCCTTTACCTTTAACTTAGTGAACTTAAGTTCGCCCTTAACTTAGTTTGTCTGGGATAAGGGCTGGTTCGATGATTGTCGTGGACGAGTTACAGGAATATTGCGGTGAAATGTACAGAAACAGCAAGTGGCATCAGCAGTAGCAGTAGCAGTGGCAAAGTGGTAACAGCAGCAGTGGCATGAGCAGTAGCAGTAGCAGAGGCATGCGCAGGAGTGGAAACAGCATGCAGTAGCAGTGGCATGAGCAGTAGCAGTAGCAGTAGCAGTGGCATGAGCAGTAGCATGAGCAGTATCAGTAGCAATGACATGAACAGTAGCAGTAGCAGTGGCATGAGCAGTAGCAGTAGCAGTGGCATGAGCAGTAGCAGTGGCATGAGCAGTAGCAGTGGCATGAGCAGTAGCAGTGGCATGAGCAATAGCAGTAGCAGTGGCATGGGCAGTAGCAGTAGCATGATCAGTAGCAGTGGCATGGGCAGTAGCAGTGGCATGAGCAGTAGCAGTAGCAGTGGCATGAGCAGTAGCAGTAGCAGTGGCATGTTCAGTAGCAGTAGCAGCGGCTACGAGCGAGGGCAGGAGTGGAAGTAGTAAGGGGCAGGAATGGCGGTTGCGGCATAAGCAGTGCAGTTTGCGGCGTTTCCGAAGGCATGAGCAGGGGCATTCGGCACAAGTAAGTAGTTAGTTCGAGCACTTGCAGTTTGCATATGCGTGGAGCATGGGGTCATGAACAAGGGTAGTGCGCGTGGGCATGAGCATGCAGCATGATTGCAGCATGAGTAAAGGCAGTTGTCACGAGCATGGGGCATGAGTGAAGCATGAGTGGATACCACTAGAAAGAACGGCGGTCGAACGGAAAAGGACGAGTGGATGCGCGGGGGAGGGGCAGCGTCACACGAGGCAAAACAAAAAGGATAAGGAGGGGGAATCGCAGAGGGGAGGGGGAGGGGGACGAGGAGGACGAAAAAGAGGAGGAGGAGGAGGAAGAGAGGAGGAGGAGGAGGGGGGGGAGGAGGAGGGCGGAGGGGGAGGATGAGGGGGAGGGAGGAGGAGGAGGAAAGAGGAGGGGAGGAGGAGGAGGAAACAGCGGGAGGAGGAGGAGGCGGAGGAGGGAGGAGGGGAGGAGGAGGGGGGAGGGGGAGGAGGAGGGGGAGGAGGGGGAGGAGGAGGAGGGGGGGGAGGAGGAGGAGGAAAAGGGCGAGGAGGAGGAGGAGGCGGAGGAGGAGGAGGAGGAGGAGGAGGAGGAGGAGGAGGAGGGGGAAGGAGGGGGAAGGGGGAATGAGGAAGAGGAAATTGGCAAGGCGCGCGCCGCCTTGGACCCTGGCCCGCGGTCGGCCCGAAAGACCTGCGAGATCCCCGAGGGTCGTGGGGGGTCACTGGGGGCCGAAAAATGTGAAGAAAAGAAGCGACTCGATTTTCTAGGAGCAGGGAGGTCCCCGAATTCTGCGGCGGGGGGGGGCAGCCTGGCATCAGCGGGATGACGAAACACGGGGGCGGACGAAACGGGGCGGGCGGAAGGGCAGCGATGTGAAGGAGCGCAGGGGGGAGGCGGATGATTCTCAAACTCGGTGCGTTGGCGCTGCTCGCGCTTGCGGGGGGGGCAATGGGGCCGAAGCGGAGGCCGGCGGCGGCGGGTGAGGAGGCCCCGCCTAAGACGAAGGCTCTGGGCGCCCGAGATGGGCGCGGACAGAATGGGTATGATGCCCAACAGCAGTTCCTGTTCATTCTGGACAGAATTCGCTGCCCGCGCCGCCGCGGCGTGTGCCCATTCGAGACAGAAGGCCGCCTGCCCAACAGCGGCCGCTGTTGGTTTCGGACAGCATTTGTTGTTGGGCATTGAGCCCATTCTTTCGGTGCCCACTTTTGGGTGTCCAAAAAGGCCAAGGCGAAGGCGGGCGCGGGCTTGCTCGCGATGGCAGCAGGCGCGGACATGGACAGCGCGCTGGCCCCCGCAGTGAAGCAGGAGGACACGCAGCCGAGTGGCGACGAGAGCCCGCCGACCCCCGCGCAGACGCCGACGGCTAAATGCGCCAGCAAGGCTTCCCCGCCAGCTGCGCCCAAGACCAAGGCGCGCGCAGGTGCGCCTAATGCGAACGAGGGCGACGACGCGGTCGACGCGGAGGACGGTGTGCCTGATGAACGCATGGTCTCCCGCGCCCAGAGGGCTGTATTTCATAGGAACTTGGACATGCTCGATGAATCAGTGCAGAAGAAATACAGCGAGCTGAAAGAATCCACGAGCAGGGGCAAGGAGAAAGCCATCTACGCATTGATCAATGAAGTTGTCCCTCGACATGTTACGTTTGCTGGCGCGATCAAAAATAAGGAGCACACCCTCACGAAATTGATGTTTTTTTCTTTTTTTTTTTTTTTTTTTTTTTTTTTTTTTTTTTTTTTTTTTTTTCTTTCGCTTTTTTTTTTCTTTTTTTTTTTTTTTTTTTTTTTTGTTTTTTGTTTTTTATTTCTTTTTTTTTTTTTTTTTTTTTTCTTTTTTTTTGGCTTTTTTTTTTTTTTTATCCTTTTTTGTTTTTTTTTTTTTTTTTCTTTTTTTTTTTCGCCATACCACCAGCAAGTCGATAGGTTCTCTGAATGTTGGCATGGATGAATTGGTCATGATTGGCACCCGCTTCGCTGGCAGCAAGGCGCTCTTCAAGGAGGCGCTGGATGCAAAGCAGGTGGTGTTCAACGAGAAGACTGGCAAGTACCGCGTGATGGACACTGTCGACGAGAAGAAGGACATGCACGAGGAGGCCACCCACGGCCAGACCACAGCGCTGGTGCCCAGGGGGGTCAGGAAAATTGGCACGCGGAGGGGGGCGGAGCATGGTCAGGAGCATTGCCACGCAGTTGCCTGGGCAGGAATAAGCGCAAGAGCACGAGTAGCAACGCGACGAGGATTGGGAGTTCGAGTGGGAATGATAGAGAGTGGAGGAGGGGAAAACGACGACGACGACAACGACGACGACGACGAGGAGGAGGGGAGGGACGAGCGGGGGGAAGGAAGCGGATGGGGCAACGGCCAATGCAGGGAGGGGCGTGCCAAGCAGCGAAGGTTGACGAGAAATGTATGATGGCCTTCTTCGAGCGCATGGAATCCGCCCGCTCCTCCGACAAGTGGATGCTCGATGATGGCTCCGGCGCTGGCAGCTCCCGCGACAAGCCCGCGGCCGTCTGCGCCGATGGCCCTGCCACGCCCGAGGACATGCAGTTGCTCCAGGAATCGTTCGATGCAGTCTCGCGCACTACCCTCGCCATCAAACATATGGGCAAGGACTTGGTGCAGGCGCGCGCCACCCAGAGCTCGGTGGACATCGGGAGGCGCGGCATGGAGCTCTGCAAGGCAAGCGCTCTATAACGCACAAGTTTTGAGCACGTGGATGAAGTTTTGAGCACGTGGTCAAGTTTGGCTTTCATATAGACTTCGTAGCGCGTGAGAACACGTGAGATCTCGGGCAGGAGGGGGCACGCTCGCATGCGAGGGGAAAGCAGGGTGCACCGCTGGGAGGGGGGCAGGGATGAGGCGCCCAGCGAAACCTCGAAAGGGCGTCGTGGCCAGCCAGAACACCATCGAGGAGATGCTCGTGACCCCCCCGGAGGAGTTGCGGCGGTCAGCAGTGCGAGACGCCTTGAAACAGGCAGCGGTCCTCTCTCGACCTTTGTCGCCGTCGTCGTCGTCGTCGCCGCTGTCGTCGTCGTCGTCGTCGTCGTCGTCGTCGTCGTCTGCGTCGTCGTCGTTATCGTCGTCGTCCTCGTCCCCGTCGTCGTTGTCGTCGTCGTCGTCGTCGTCGTCGTCGTCGTCGTCTTCGTCGCCGCGGTCGTCGTCGTCGTCGTCGTTGTCGTCGTCGTCCTCGCCCCCGTCGTCGTTGTCGTCGTCGTCGTCGTCGTCGTCGTCGTCGCCCTCGTCGTCGTCGTCGTCGTCGTCGTCGTGGTCGTCGTCGTCGCCCAGGCAGCGTCCCCGTACAAGGCCCTCTTGGATTTCTACCACGAGCTCCAGGCCATCCACAAGCATCACAAGAAGTCGCTGAAGTCGCTGCCCAGCTCCTGAACACGGTGGCGCTGCTTTCTGTCAGGGAGGGCGCGAACCGAGCAGCGGTGGAGAATACATGACATTGTTGGAGTCGGGATACGGTTAGCATCAGTTGGAGTGGATGTTGGAAGCAGCGGGGGAGGGAGCGAGCGGAGGAAAAGCGAAAAGGAATTGGGAGGCACGAAGAGAGGGAAGGTAGGGGGAGGGAGACGACGGCAAAGGATTGGCATGGGATGGGAATGAGGAATGTGAAGGCGCAGGCACAATGCTCAGAGCATGGCGTGGGTTCTTGGAATGCAGTTGCAAGCGCAGGCAGACTGTAGCTCTTGTGGCCCGAAAGGGACGCTGCAATTTCTGGCACCGAACAGCCATGCCAGAATCCTCTCGCCCCAGAGAAACGTCTAATTTCAGCGTTGGCCCAGCAGAATATCAGATCATGCTCGCAAAACATTTTCGCGTATCGAACGATTTTAGCTTTTGCAAGCCGTATGTCAAGGAGACTTGGAAGGTCACCCCTGCCATGATCGTCAACGCATCTTCTCTCATGAAAGACCTTATGCAAGGTGGATTACGGAACGGCGTGATCAGGGCAGGTATCCTTGAGGCCGAAGCGAAAAAACTCTTGCTTTCCACCCCGGAAAAGATCCAGGCGACCAAGGTCGACGACGAGGCCTCGAATCTCGCTGACCACGTGCGCTCATTGTTTGACATGCTTCGCAATTACGTGAAAGAGACAGCATCGGGTAATCATCGGAAGACTGGTTCTTTCAGGAGGAAGCTGAACGGCGCCGACGTGATGGTCATGTCCAGCTTGTCAGCCGAGATGCGCTTGTCCGACGCCGACAATGTTTCCACGTCGGCTTCTGTTCCGCCGTGTCAGCATCAGCCAGGGGACTGGAACGAAGGCGACATCACCGCTCCGAGGACGCCGAGGCCGCCAGCAGAAGACCGCATCATTGCTGCACCCGCTGTCCCCGCTAAGACGCCATCGCCTGCGCGGCCACTTCGCGCCCCCTCGCCATTGTCCGCTTCTCCTTCGGTATTCAAACAAGGCCTGGTTGAGGTGCCATCGCCCCCGCCTGCCTCGATCCAGGGCGGCTCTCCGATATCCATCCAGTCGACGCCGAAGAAGCTTGAGGTGTTCGCCAAGCTCACGAAGGGTGTGATTGATTCTCGTGGTTCCCCAGCATTGCCGCCAAGCGGAACGCCCTCGTTCATTCCGACCCCAGCTGCTGTTCTCATTGGACCAAGGACCACCAAGCGGAAGGACCTAGCCCTTGAGGCTAGGGATGGCGGCGCGAAGCCTTTCTCCCACGCGGCCGCCGCCACCACGCCGCGGAAGCGCCTGAGGGTGAAATCCACGCCCGCCCCGAAGACCGGCCAGGCAGGCGCCAGCGGAGAGAGCGCAACCCCCCGCAGTGGAGAAAAGACAGCACCACCCATGGCCAAGGCCAAGGCCGCGAGCACCGCCGCCGCATGTGCCTCAGGCGAGAAGCTCCATCGTGCGACCTGCTGCGGGCCCACCGAGGGTTTGGTCCCCAGGTACGAGGTCTGCGCGAAGGACTATGTATCGAACAAGAGAGTTTTCGTCATGAGCATCACTGTCAAGGCCTCCCCCATTGCTGGCTTCGTTGCCCAGAGTGTGACCGACCGCATCAACGACACGCAGTGCACCAAGGCTACAGCTCTGCAGTACCGCGATTCTTTGCTGAATGCTTGAGTGCATATTTATCCATATGCCCATGACGTGTGGTAGAGATTCGGCATGCAGCCACATCGGTTCTTCAGACATTCATGCGCTGTTCCCTTGCACAAAAACATCGTCATCAAGCATTGCACATGACGCGTTTTGTTTCCACATATTATTTCTGTGGCGTCCTGACTTCATGTGGACACTGGTTTGCTTGGTTCTTCCCTGGCTGCCTTTCTTGATTGTTCCCTGGTTCGCTTTCTGGATTGTTCCCTGGCTTGCGTTCTGGATTGTTCCCTTGCATGTTTGCTTGCTTTCTGCGCTGTTTCCTGATTATGTGTTTGCCATTGATATCCCTCGTCGTCGTCGTCGTCGCGCTCGTCGTCTCCATCGTCGTCGTCCTCAGCCCTCGTCGTTGTTCTCTCCCGCAGCCATCGTCGTCGTCGCGTTCGTCGTCTTCGTAGCCGTCGTCGTGCTATACTCCTCAGCCCTCGTCGTCGTCGTCGCCCTCTCCCTTCCCGCATTCTCTCTCTGGGAACGGGGACACAACCCTTTCGCCGCAGCGGGTTAGTGGCCCCGCGAGCCGACGAGGGCACGGGGCGTGGGGACAGGGAGGGAGGAGGAGAAGGAATTGCAGCATGGCCTTCCTGAGGTTAGAACTGAGATGTAGGACAGGGGGGTCTTCGCTGCAGTGAATATGCGCGTCCTCGTGTGTGCATGTCTCTGTAAAGATTGCGTTGTCTGCATAGCTCTTGGCTTAAATATATCCTGCATTTAATTTCCCGTGTCTCCGGTGATCAAGGCGTTAACGACGACGGGCGTGATGTCGATGGATCTGCTGATGGTGATAATCCGATGATGATGACGACGGTCCCCGCAACGATCCCGAGCCCCAACGCGAGCCCGACCCCGAGCCCGAGCCCGAGTCCGAGTCTGAATACTCATGTCCTTCCCCACTCCCTCGTCGTTGTCGTCGTCGTCGTCGCCGTCGTCGTCGTCGTCGTCGTCGCCCAAGCCCGATCCAGTGGGGCCGCAAGTGGAGCTCCCACCACGAAGCGCTGCACTGGGTGTGGCAGACGGATGTGGCCACCCCCACCCCCTCCTCCTCCTCCTCCTCCTCCTCATCCTCCTCCTTCTCCTCCTCCTCCTCCTCCTCCTCCTCCTCCTCCTCCTCCTCTCCCTCCTCCTCCTACTCCTCCTCCTCCCTCCGCCCTCCTCCTCCTCCCTCCTCCTCCTCCTCCTCCTCTCCTCCTCCTCCTCCCCTCCCCCTCCTCCTCCTCCTCCTCCTCCTCCTCCTGCCTCCTCCTCCTCCTCCTTCTCCGCCTCCTCCTCCTCTCCTCCTCCTCCTCCTCCTCCCCTCCCCCTCCTCTCCGCAGCCTCACCTCCTCCTCCTCCTCCTCCGCCTTCCTCCTCATATCCTCCTCCTCCTCCTCCTCCTTCCCCTCCTCCTCCAGCCTCCTTCCTCCTCCCTCCTCCTCCCCCTCCTCCTCCTTCTCCTCCTCCCTCCTCCTCCTCACTCCTCCTCCTCCTCCTCCTCCCGCCTCCTCCTCCTCCTCCTCCTCCTCCTCTCCTCCTCCTCCTCCGCTCCTCCCGTCCGCCTCCGCCCTCCGCCTCCTCCCTCCTCCTCCTCTCCTCCTCCTCCATCCTCCTCCTCCTCCTCCTCCTCCCCCTCCGTTCTCCTCCTCCTCCTCCTCCCTCATCCTCAGCCTCCTCCTCCTCCTTCTCCTCCTCCTCATCTCATCCCTCAGCAATCATCATCCTTCCTCCTCCTCCTCCCTCCTCCTCCTCCTCCTCCTTCTCTCTCCGCCTCCTCCTCCTCCTACTCCTCCTCCTCCTTCTCCGCCTCCTCCTCCGCTCCTCCTCCTCCTCCTCCTCCTCCTCCTCCTCCTCATCATCATCATCATCATCATCATCATCATCATGGTGGAGCTACCTATGGTGCCACGAAACGCTGTACTGGGTGTGGCGGACGCATGTGGCCACTCCCACTGGTGCCTAGGGTGGAGCTCCCTATGAGGCTACGAAGCGCTGTACTGGGTGTGGCGGGCGCATGTTGCCACCTCCACTCGGGCCTCGGGTGGAGCTTCCTATGAGGCCACGACGCTGTATTAGGTCAGCGGGCGCATGTCGACTGCGGTAGATTGTCGGTAGATTTACGGCAGGTTGTCGGTAGATTGTTGGTAGATTGTTGGTAGATTGTTGGTAGATTGTTGGTAGATTGGTGGTAGATTGTTGGTAGATTGTTGGTAGATTGTTGGTAGATTGTTGGTAGATTTGTGGTTTTCTTAATGTTTTCTTTAAGGACGACAATCTACCAACAATCTACCAACAATCTACCAACAATCTACCAACAATCTACCCAAACAATCTACCAACAATCTACCAACAATCTACCGACAATATACCGACAATCTGCCGTAAATATGCCGACCACGTTGATTGAGTTACCTATCATCTCTGCGATTGTCTAACATATTTTGGAGAATTACGACACGCCCACCTGACAGAAGAAGGCCACGACACGCCCACCTGACAGAAGAATGTCTCTTCCTCCTCCTCCGCCTCCTCCTCCTCCACCTCCTTGCAGAGGTCGCAGTCGTCGTGATCGTCGTCATCGTCGTCGTCGTCGTCCTTGTCCTCCTCCTCCTCCTCCTCACCCTCCTCCTCCTCCTCCTCCTCCTTTTCCTCCTCCTCTTCTTCCCCTCCTCCTCAGCCTCCTCCTCCTCCCTCCTCCTCCTCCTCCCCTCCTCCTCCTCCTCCTCCCTCCCTCCTCCTCTCCTCCTCCTCCTCCTCCTCTCTCCTCACTCCTCCTCCTCCTCCTCCTCCTTCCTCCTCCTCCTCCTCGCCGCCTCCGCCCTCCTCCTCCTCCTCCTCCTCCTCCTCCTCCTCCTCCTCCTCCTCCTCCTCCCCCTCCTTCTCCTCCTCCTCCTCCTCCTCCTCCTTCGCCTACTCCACCTCCTCCTCCTCCTCCTCCTCCTCTTACTCCCCCTCCTCCTCGCGGCCGTCTTTGATTCTGCTCCCAAATCGGGAGGTGATGACGATGCTGATGATGCTGATGATGGGGATGCTGACACTGAGGATAAGGGTGATGACGATGACGGTGATGATGGCGATGATGATGCGGATAATGAGGGCGAGGATAAGGACGAGGATGGGAATGCTGATGACGAGGATGAAAGAGATAATGAGAAGGAGGGGAACAAGGATGAGGATGATGAGAAGGAAGAGGTTGAGGGTGAGGAAGAAGAGGAAGACGGCTGATGCTTTTCGTTGCTGGGCCCCTGGGGGCCATGTCGCGCCCGGTGATCCTGCTGATCCTCCTCCTCGCCGCAGATGCCCAGTGCGCCCGCTGATCCCCCTCTTTCAATGCGCGCAGTGGGAACGGGAAAACACGCAGAAGGGGTAATAGTCAAGCTAGGTGCGCTCGCGTCATATCTGACGTCCTACCCCTCTCTCCCATCCCATACCATGGCGCTGATTTTCTCTATCAGCGGACGCGTGTCGCAGCGGACCCGTGGCTCCGCGCGCGCGTGCGTAGTGGGTGGTGGTGCACGTGCGTGCGTGCGTGCGCGCGTGTGTGCGTGGTTGTGGTTGTGGTGGTGGTGGCGGTGGCGCTGGTGGTGGTGGTGGTGGAATGAGGCCCACAGTGGAGGGCATGCAATGACAGGGGGCACGGGGATAGAGAAAAAGGACACGCAGTGCGCAGTTGCAGGAAAAAGCACTGGGAGAGATCGCGCGCGTTCTCCGTACATGTTTCTGCTCAAGGATGCGCGAACCATGTCTGCCAGACAGGGGGGGCGGAAGCAGCGCCAGGCGCGACGGTCGGGCGACGCAGGTGTTTCTGATTGCAAATGGGGCATCATCGGACAGCTCATGCGCGGCCTGGGCGGCTTATCTCGCGAGGTGCAAAGGTGGCTTATTGATTGGGGCTGGGGGCGCAAGAGTGCTTCAGCGATGCAGAGGGACGCAAAGGCTAGTCTCGGGGACATGCTAGAATTATGTCGGCGAGGGGGGATTTCTGAAGACCACCTTCCCAAGGATGTACGCATGATTGCTGGCGTCGGCTCGGCTGGTAGATACCCAAATAATTGTTATCGCGATTTAGAGGTTCTGTTGGGGTCACCGTTAATTCCGCTGCCCTCTCAGACACGCGTAATCATCAGGAACAGAAAAGGCCGCAAAGGACTACAACTTCGATCTGATCGGTTTCCGTTCGATCAGCCCGTGCACCACCCCCACAATTTATTCTCTCATTTCTTTCGGAACGACAAGGGGCAGTTCATCAAGAAATTCTTACCAGCAGGACCTGATTTTTCCAGCAGCTGCGACGCCCTGGAATCGTTCTGGCGGACCATGGTCGATAGGGGGGACCCCCGATTGCGGCGTCATCCCATGTGCTCGCGCGCGGGCTGGATGAGACGAGCTGTTCCTCTGGCCGTGCATGGAGACGGTGTTGCTGTTTTGTTCACGGGGAGGCACGGGTCCCGATCGCTAGACTGCATTTCTTTCGCGTCCCTCGTTTCGGAGGGTCGGTTATCAGAGAGGAACCTCTTGCTGTCCTGCGTGTTCGAGGACAACAAAGTGAACGCCAGCGCGGCTGGGGAGCCCGCGACAGATGATGAAATTTGGAAGGTTCTGTCGTGGAGCTTCCGGGCGCTGTTCGAAGGCGAGCACCCCGCAAACGATGCCGAGGGTAACCCGTCCACGTCGATTATAGCAGGACAGCCTCTGTGCTCCTCAGACGAACGCTTCTTCGGCGTTATATGGAGCATCAAGGGCGACTACGAGTGGTTTCGGAAAGCACTAGGCTTGCGCAGCGCCAATGCCAATAAGTGTTGCGAGCTTTGCGAAGCAAACTGCGGGTCCCCAAATCCTTCGTGGCACCCTACAAATTTCTGTCCTGATGCTGCGTGGATGGGGTCGCTGTGCACCGCCGAAGGGTGGCGGGCAGCTGCGAACAGGCATGTATTGTTTCAGGAGCTGGGGTATTTGTCATGCCTAAACATAGAGCCTGATGAGCTTCACGTGGT